CGCGGCACGATCGTTGCGATTTGCGATTTCACTACCTATGACAGTCTGGTACAGATCACGGCTAAACACTAGCTCCCATATTTCATCGCAAATCATGGCCTGAGCAGGTCCCCCTCGGGCACTTCGTCTGACAGGGCGCCAGATGGGTGACGTCTCGCGCCGGGGCTGCGGCCGTTTACGAGCACAGCTTTGTTCCAGCAAAGAGCCTCGTCCCAAGCCTGGTCATGTTCGATAGCGAGCCAGTCTTCCTTGTCGAGGTGGTGGCGATCGACGGTGCCAAGAAGAACGTCAAAAATGTCGGACCAGCCCTCGGGCTGCTTGAAGCTGGGGCCAAACCATTCGGCCTGCGGGCGGCAGTGAAAGGCGACGGGGCCGCCACAGCGGATACAGAAACTGCGAGACGCAGCCTCTTTGTCGCAGATGAAAGCGTGGAAAAAGCCGAGAGTAGTGCCCTCGGCCCCGGGAACATCAGGGCGGAGAACATCGAGGGCAGGCACATAAGCCGGCCGGTCTGCGTCCGAAGCGGTGACTTCATCTTCGGTCATGGGCCGCTCAGCAAGGCGACCTGTGTGTGATCGCGGCAGGTCGGACCCGTTGCCCACCTGAAGAGCGGACACAGTCATTTGTGGTGCAGGTGTTTGGATAGCCTCAAAGGAGGAGTTACCAGAGGCAACGCGGCAGTCATTGCAGTGACATGCGAGGGCGAAAGGGAGACGGGGGGTGCGGGGATTAGCGAGATCCGGGGAGGGGCCGAGGGTGAAGGCCGGGGGACGGTCGGCGTATTGTGGAACGGCGATTCGATAGCTGGGTCTGTGAGCGACTCAATCAATCGACGCTTTAGATTGTGAGGGGAGATACCGAACAGCGCCGCAGTTGCAGCCACCCGTAATCGTGTGCGCGTGCTTTGGAAATGGCATATTGTTGAGCTTTGGATTGGGCTGAACAATAGGTCGTCAAACGGTGCGAAGGTGAAGAGAAGACGAGGCACGCTGCCTAGCCGACAGCCAGACACATATAGTGCCCATTGTCTGAAGGGGGACAATTCGTGATGGGCAAAGCTGGCTTGGCAAATGTTCAGCTAGTACTGTGCCAAGCCGATACCGAGCCAATGTTGTACTCGACTCACGAGCGTGCACCAAAAGATTGGGGTTTTCGTAGCTCTTTGTGAACATTGGTGCCGCCCCAAGCTTAGGGCGCCTCGCCCAGGCAGCCGTGCCGATCATAGGGGTTGGGGTTTGAGCTGAAAGATAGCGTTTGTCAGAAAAGTTGACACCAGGTCGTAGCAGTGATGTAAGCTGAACGTGCGAAGAAATGGTCCAGGGCCCAATTGAGTTGAACTCGGTCATAAAAGTCGTAAACTGAAATGCGCGATCGAACCAGCATTCGTGGAAGAGTCCATCGACAACGCAAATCGCTGAAGAGGGAAATCGCAGGGCGAAATGTGATTGACATGGACCTTGTCAGATCACACTTGGGACGAATGCCTGAAAAGGCGTCCCCAAGACCCGGCCCAGCATCGTCAATCTTGACCCCTTCCCGCCTCAGCAGCATCCTCTTCTCGTCAAGCGTGATGCCCTCACCGTCGCGCGGCCACTTCCCCTTGAAGCCGCCGAGCTTGCCGCCCGTCGCCACAACACGGTGGCATGGGACCTGGGGCGCGAAGGGGTTGCGGCGCAGCGCGTTGCCGACGGCGCGGGGCGACGAGCCGAGATGCGCGGCGAGGATGGCGTAGGTGGTGACCTGGCCCTTGGGCACCTGGCACAGGGCTGTCCAGACGCGCTTCTCGTGCGTGGTGCGTGTCGAGGCGGCGATGCGGTCGAGCTGGGGCCCCATGTCTTTGGTGTCGTAGGTTGTCATTTTGGACTTGGGAGCCGCTGCGGGCTTGGGAGACGTCGAGGTGGAAGACATGCTGGGAAGGTTTGGCTTGAGGGGGTGGATTGGCCGTGGTGCGATGGCAATGTGCAAATGACGAGAGACGCGAGTTGAGTTTCTTTTTAGTTTATCTCTGGTCAAAACTTCAAGTTGATATGAATGAGATTGAATGACGAGAAAGGAATACGAAGAGGGGGTTCAGCTTTTGGTGTCGATTTATGTTGCCCGGCGGCATTGTCAACGAAAGGGCGCGCGTCGTACCGCTGGCTCGTGACGCGAAGAGACTGCCCCGCTCAAGATATGGTGTCGCGAAGTCATGTGACCTTCAGCGTGCCAGCATTACGACATGAATTGAGCGAGCGACCCAACCCAGCAAGCCACCCAACCCAGCAAGCCACCCAGCAGTGCAAGGCACATACATCATGCCAGGAGTTGCCAGCAGAAGAATGGTATCAATTCAATCCTGGAGAAAACAACCTGACGATCGTCCATTGTACAGATTTTTCATAACGTCAAGGTGCCCATGATGCTTAATCACCCGTGTCCACCTCCAGGTCTAGCTGTACCCCGTTGCTCACTCCGTAGTCCTCCAGGGTCAGCTGGTCCTTGAACGGCCTCTCGCCCTGCCTCTTCAGCAAGATCTCGTGCGGCTTCCTACCGACCCGCGCTGCCACCATAATCTTGAACATCTTCACAGGGTCGGACGCTAGGCAGGGAATCGCGACCTTGGTGCCGAGTCGGTCGTTCACGTGCACAATGATGTACTCCTCGCCGCCAGAGGGCGCCGGAGCCACCTTGTCCCTGGGTGTCTTGTCCTTCTTCTTTTTCTTGTCTCTGTCTTCTCCCGCCGCGGGGACCTTGTTCGGTTGCCGCTGCCGCTGCCGCTGCCGCTGCCGCTGCCGTTGTCTGCGGCAGCTGGTCGGCGCGGGGGTCTGTCGTCGTCGCGGTCACGGTCACGGTCGCGACGAGGCGAGCGCGAGCGCGAACGGTTGCGGTAGCCGCGATTGAGGGTGCGGCGGTCGTCTGGGCGGTGGTCGTCGGCACGCGAGGACTTGTCCTTCCAGCGGAAGCCTCCTCCGCCTCCGCCGCCGCCGCCTTGTTTGCGTTCGCGGGGACGGTCTCGTTCACGGGAACGGTCGCGATCGCGGCGCGGCGAGCGCGATCTTGACCTTGCTCGGTCGCCCATTGTGGCGGGTGTGTGCACGTCCGAGATGGCGGGCGGGCTGTGTTGGGGTGTTGATGGCAGGACCATGTCGGAGGCCAGGCTGGTTGACAGGACTTTGACGTTCTCGGATTATCTAATGATGATGTGGTGTGAGTAAGCCATTCTCTTCAGTACCCACAAGCACCACGCTTCGGTGCCTCATCTTGCCGATTAGGTACCTAAGCTTGCTACGGTCCCATGCATGTTAGGTACCTACCTCTGCCGTTCTAGCCGGCTGCTGTCTGGGGTATCCCCGCCATCACTGTCGCGTGCCCGGTTGCACTAGGTGGGGTATTTCGTCTCGCGACCGGCAATCTCGGACGATGTTGCCTTTCTACTGATATCTGATATACACGACTTCAAGTTTCGTTGCTGCTGCCATCGAACAGCCTGCCATCGCGGCCCACCCCTCTCCATTACCCCAGGCACCCACGGACCGTTCTTCGTGCAGAACCCCTTTCGCTTACGGACGCAGGATACTCTTCTGGCTCGAAGTGGATGCATTGTCCGTCTCATCAGCGAGATTGGCGTAGCCCCGCGCCTTCCTGTCCGTCTCCCTGTACTCGGTCACAATCGTCTCCCTCGTCTGCAGGATCCCCTCGATGTGGCCTAGGGAGCGTCCGACGGGGCTCGCGTCGAAGTCATGCGCGTTGTCCGCCTCGATCTTGGTCTTGCGCGCCATCGACCCCATGGTCGCCATGCCAAACGTGTCGCCCGTCTCCTCGGCGTTGGACGTCGCATGGGCCCGCCGGCCGTTGTTGTAGAGGCCGTACATGGTGGGCGCGTTGACGACGATGGCCGTGACGAGCAGCTCGACGCTCGCCCACGTCGATCGGTTGAGCTGGCTGTCCTTGTGCAGCGTGCTGATCGGCAGGCGCACGATGGTGATGGCGATGATGAAGATGCCGAGCAGGAACAGCGCGTACAGCTGCGCCTTGAGCCGCCACGCCGCCTGCATGGCCACGACGAGCGGCAGCGGCAGCAGGATCAGCATCAAGTCCGTGACGATGTTGAGGATCCCCACCGTCATGAGCTGCGCCTCTGCTTCGACGCAAGTGCCTGCGCGCGTCAGTCTGCGTCGAGCCACGCTGAGGGACAGCCGCACGGCCTGCCAGTGGGGGGAGGAGAAGGAAAAACACCATACCTGGATAAGGGACGACCTGCCAATAGAGATGAATGGGTTTGCATTCGATGAACGTGCTGACCTGGCAGGCAATCCATGTGACGAGGAAAACGGCAAGAAAACTGTAGACCTTGATGTGCTCGTGCGGAAGCTTGACCAGCAAGCGACGATAGAGGTCCAGGAGCACCAGCTTTTGGAGCCAGAGACTTTTCAAGAGGATACGTCAGCGTTGGGCACAGCGGGGGGGGAGGCAGGCCTCGAGGCACTGACTAGGAACTGTAGACCACGCGCCCCGCGATGGAAAGCTTGCTGCCAATCTCGCGATGGTGGAATCTCCTCGGGCGTGAACACATGGGTTCTCGCGATAGGCGGCCGGGCATGTTGTTGGTCTTCCACGTCAACACCATGTGGATTAGACCCATCCTCGCCACGACGAACACGCAGGCGGCCATGGTCAGGTAGTCGCCGAGATTGAAGGGCCTGTTTGGCCACCCTTGCGCCAGATCAGCCTGACCACCATGATGGCGAAGGGCTATCCCGGCTGAACAGCCAGTGGATGATGATGAGGGTCGGGATGGGTCCATCGAGGC